AAAGTGCGCTTGTCTCAACTACCTTAAATTGTTGAGGATTAGTAGAACTTGAGGCCTTCCAAATCTCCAAGAATCTTTAATTCGAAAATGGTGCCACTTGAAGTGTTGGAGATACACTCCTCCACTGACATGATGTACAAGATGGGATCGGTTTTCATTGGTTAAAGAAAATGAAGGCCTCCTATCTTGCAGTGTTTAAGAATTGAGGTTAGAACAATGTAAAGTCCTGAAGAAACAACCAAATGGATTAAGAGCTTCACAACTCTCAGGTATTTGAATGACGATGGTTGTCTTAATCTCAATAGGGGTGGGAATCGGTCGGTAAACGGTAAATTGGTTACCGAATTTACCGGTTTCGGTATACCGAACTGGCCAAAACTGTTTACCGTTACCGTTACCGGTTTGTAACCGGTTTACCGATTACCGAATTACCGCAAAGCGCGACGTGGGACGGTTTTTCGGTTCGGTTTACCGAAAATTTACCGAACCGAAATTCTGTTTGTGGGGGAAGATGTTGTAATATTTTGATTTTATTAGTTTTTTTCTTCATTTTTGTAATTAATAATTTATAACATTTTTTTAGGGCTACACTTACTTACATTCATGTATCATTTGTAACTCTTATTGTTAATATTTTTCTTCATGATGTATGTAATATTTGTGAATAATGAAGTATATGTTATATCTTATATGTTAATGCCATATAAGTGGAGCTCGAAATGTTTGCTTTAGTTCCTCACTCAGTGCCTGTAAAGTAAGATAAACACAATCAAACACCAATTAGTTGGGCTCGTCTTTCTTTCAAGCAAAATGCAAGTAATGGAAAATTATTGTGTCTACTAGCTAAATGAAACAACTGTCCAACCATCTCAAACATACTCAAAACTGCTAAAATAGAACCAAACTCACAGGATCTACTTCTCTACTAAAAGTCTAAAACAATTACACCAATTCTCATTTCTCAGTGTAAAAACAAACTGAGAATTTTGTCACCCCTCGGCCCTCGCTCACCAGAATAGTCCACAAAACATGTTTTAGCCATGATTGAATCCAGAAACATTGACCCACACTATAGTAAAGCTGCAGGTGGCCCTTTCTTAATCTAGCAGGAGAGTCTCATGTCGAAAAAGCACAGGCAACCACAAACTTACCTATTAATCAGCGGTGGAAACTCGTCGCCGTCGTTGGTGGGGAAGCGGGAAGCTCGTCGCCGTCGTCGCCCATGGGAATCGCTGCTCGTCGCCGTCGTCAGCAGAAGGAGCGGCCGGCGAATACGAGAAGAAGAAGAGAGGTGGGCAGGTGGCTCTCTGGTCTCTGCGATTTTCGATTGAAGAAGAGAATGGGAGGGTCAGGGCTGGGCGAAGGTCTGGCTCTCCGTCGTCGCCGTCGTGGCTCGTGGGAATTGCTGCTCGTCGCCGTCGTCAGCAGAAGGAGCGGCCGGCGAGTACGATAAGAAGAAGAAGAGAGGTGGGGAGTCTCTGCGAATTTCGATTGAAGAAGAAAACAGAAGGGCAGCTAGGTTTCGTTGTTTAGAGGAGAGGGTATAGATTTGGTGATTCATGAAACGACGTCGTTTTTTCCCGGTAAAGGGTTTACCGATTTACCGTCGGTAATTTACCGAAACTGGAACGGTAAACCGATACACTCATTGGCACGTTCGGTCGCCGATACCGTCGGTAAACGGTTTATCGTTTACCGTCGGTAAACGGTTCGGTAAAACGGTAAACCGTTTACCGACAAACCGAATCCCACCCCTAAATCTCAAGGTCTTTCTTGCAACTGGTTGCCAGTCAGCTGATGAATCGTAACCCACGATTCAAGGGTTTGCTTGTAACTCACAAGCGAGAGAACTACGTTGGTGTCAAAAGACCTTTAGCTTATTATTCAATAAATGGAACTAATGTTGAACTTACATGTATATAGGATAGAAAAACCAAATACTTTACCCAATACTACCCAAACTCCTCCTCCTACTTGGCTACCCCTACCCAAACGCAAAAGGAAAACAGACCCCAAAAGGAAGAAGACACCCGCACCCCACAACTCAAAAATTCCAAAAGCCCAATCCGAAAATAACCTCATTAATCATCCCCCCTAAAATAAAACTTGTCCCAAAGGTTGACCTTCGATGTTTTCTTCCTCAAACAAGCACATCACCTCAGCAGTACTGCACTTGTGCTCGATGGTGAACCGCTCATTGCAGTTGAAGCATAACCCTTGACCTTACGAAGTTGTTGCTCCTCCCATATCATACACTTCCCACCTGGCGGCCCACGTGGTGGTCCTATACTCACTTGCAACGCCGAGCTTGATGTTCTCGGCCCATATGCTACTCCTTCAGACCCCGTCGCTCCCGAGCTTGACGGTGGTGTCGCTTGGCTAGCTAGCTTATGGCATTGTAGTTGGTCACTCTTCATTCTCTCCAGACTGATAGCGTCACGAAGAGATTGTGGTGAAAACATCTTTATCTCGTCCTGTATCTCCGACTTCAAGTCGCCCAATTATGTGCCCCACCAATGCCTATTGTGTCCACCCCACACATTGATTAGCCAACTTCTCAAACTCCCTCTGATAATCATGCAAGGATCCAGTTTGATGAATCCACGCTAGTGCCTCATCACAGCTCTCCCCTTCAGTCGGACCGAACCACACCCAAAGCTCTTGGGAGAACAACTACTGCACTTGTGCTCGATGGTGAACCGCTCATCGCAGTTGAAGCATAACCCTCGACCCTATGAAGTTGTTGCTCCTCCCATATCATACACTTCCCACCTGGCAGCCCACGTGGTGGTCCTTTACTCACTTGCAAAGCCGAGCTTGATGTTCTCGGCCCATATGCTACTCCTTCAGACCCCGTCGCTCCCGAGCTTGACGGCGGTGTCGCTTGGCCAGCTGGCTTATGACATTGTAGTTGGTCACTCTTCATTCTCTCCAGACTGATAGCGTCACGCAGAGATTGTGGTGAAAACATCTTTATCTCGTCCCGTATCTCCGACTTCAAGTCGCCCAATTACGTGCCCCACCAATGCCTATTGTGTCCACCCCACACATTAATTAGCCAACTTCTCAAACTCCCTCTGATAATCGCAAAAGGATCTAGTTTGATGAATCCACGCCAGTGCCTCATCACAGCTCTCCCCTTCAGTCGGACCGAACGACACCCAAAGCTCCTGGGAGAACAACTCCCACGAGTGAGAGAACAACGTTGGTGTCGAAAGACCTTTAGTTTATTATTCGATAAACAGAAGTAATGTCGAACTTACATATATATGATAGAAAAACCTAATAATTTACCGAATACTACCCGAACTCTTCCTCCTACTCGACTACCCCTACCAAAACGAAAAGGAAAACAAACCCCAAAAGGAAAATGACACCCAAACACGAACCAAAAATTCCAAAAGCCGAATCCCAAAGATAACCTCATCATCAGTATAATATCCTTATGGATTAGAGATTGAAAGTCCCTAGAGTTTGCCCGTACAAAAATATGGGCAGTAAATCGTTGAAAACATTTTGTTTGTTTATTGATTGGACTAATGCAGTAGCTACAAATATATAGGAGGTAAACCTACTACGTAACCCTAGCTAACCCCCAAACCCTAATACCTACCCTGCTGAATCGGCTACACCAAATAAGACGACTCAACCTCAACTAGGTAACTCCATGCCCATGCAATAATAACCCATGAAACCTACACAAACCCACTAACACATTCAACCCATAACCACTCTCAGACCATACAAGCCACATGCACTACCAATCCCTAACTACGTAACCCGCTAACAATTAACCCATAACAATGATCAAAACACATAAACGTACTAATTAACCCCCTTAGCCCCAAACCCCTGTGCAGTGCGTCTCACACTTACAGCAGTAAGTTCACATTACAATCGCTAGATTCACTGGACAACTGGTTTGGCCATGTCACTTACTGGGAAATGGCAGAATATCCTTAGCTACAGAAGATGCCATAGGGAGGGTTGTCTGCATCTTTTGCATATATTTAACAGTTTCAGGTTGCCGGAACTTGAGTTGCCCACACCAGATCAGCTGCAAACCTCGACATCCATCCCATTCAAGAACCTGACGACTCTAAGGGTTAGGAACTTGGCATAGGAATTAGGAACCGCAAAAGTCTTTCACAGGTATATCCGGTACATGGGGACTCCACAGGCTTACATCTCCCAAACGAGTCAAGCTCAGTACAAACATGGTTTCTTTTGCCGACGAGAATGGTTTGTTGCTTCCTTCTCTGCTGAACTTGCTTGGAATTCTTAGTTTGAACCAACCTGAAAGGTACCTCCATGGACCTGTGTGGATCTGGAACTGTCCTAAACTCGAGTCCTTGCCGAAAACACTTGGATTGCTGGCCTGCCCTATCTTGAAGAGGGAAGGGTTTATATGCCTTCATATCTGGAAACATAAGATCGTCCAAAAATATAGGAATATAAAGCAAAATTGCTGAGCGCTATCTTATAGATTAATTATTCTCCAACCAGAAAAGAAGGGAAGATAGTAGCACCTAGCTAGTCAGAAACCAACTGGTAAATACAATATAGCAATATGGCACAAGTCGAGCAAGATATTAACTGAGCAAAGAAGACGATCAACTACTCATTCCTACGGCTAAACGCTCCTCCTTCCAAACCCGCAAGAATCAAGAATCAAAAGGCTGTAAAACGTCAACATAAGAACCAACAACAAAAGAACACCAACCAAAAAAGACATCTATTATCAATTCTACCAAGGAAAAACCGACAAAACACCCAAGATCAGGAACAAGTTCATGAAATGTGCTGATTCTATCCCTTGCTAAACAAGTCCAGTCTATACTTGGGACACGAAAAATTTTCAGTTTGCAGTCACTCCAGGAAATTGCCTAGTGTGTCTTCACAAGGGACAACTTACACCAAGAAAGCATCACATCACTGCAATCTAAACTCGGAGTCTGAAAACCCTAAGTTTCTCTCCCTTTTTCCTTTTGTCCTCGTTTTTAACTTCTTACACCTGCTCCCTGCCTAGTCTTGATCATACGCTTCAGGGTCGCTAACCAGAAGTTACATTCGTCCCACTCGCTAGTTGTGAGCATCACCTGTTCCACAACACAGCAATGAGTAATGTACCAATCATACCAATTCATTCTGAGGTTTCATCTTCTTACCAATAAATAGTGCATTCAAGCATAAAAACAAATGACTACACCTTCTCCACAAGTGCCTAGGTACTTACCTGAATTTGCAGGGCAGTGCTGAAGTCACCTTTGTCCAACGCCTGACACAGCTGAATAAGCTTGTCGGAAGCATTTTTCGAAATATCACCACTGTTGAGTTTAGCAAACAAAGCACCAATTTTCTTTGAATTATCTTCTATTTCTCTCTTCTTAGCTGGGTTTGCCCGTGAACCACCCAAAGCTTCCGATGTCTCATTAAAAAGTCTCGTCAATGTTGCAGCAACAGGTTTATGGTGCGCTGCACCACGTAGAGGCAAAGAAAGCATATCCATATTTGGTAAATCATGTCTAAGCACAGAATCATTGTCTAATCACAGCGACAGCAAGCATCAATTCTAAGCACAGAATTATGTCTAATCTTAAACTTTTCCTTCTTTCTTCCATTGAAAAATTAGAAGAAAAAAAATCTAGTTATTACCAGGAATTTTTGAAGTATCAACTGTCTGTACAGTAGGAGGTGGAGCAACTGGTGCCACAGCTGGTTGCACAGATGCCGACTGGCTAGGAGTGGATGGTTGCAATGAATTGATGCTCGGTCTGTGAACAGAGTTTGCTACAGGTCTAAATCCCACAGGAGTTGATGTTGGGGCCACAACATTTGGCATTCCCATAGGAGCTCCAACTGGGGCTTGAGGAGCAGGAGACTGTACAGGTTGGAATCCCGGATTTGAAGCCCCCTACAGAAGCAAACATGACAACAGATAACAAAGTTAGCAAATGAACAACAAATATATGGAGTATAATGACTTGATATCTTGCAAACATATACACACAGGATACAACTGAGATCCCAACGTTGGCTGCTGCTGGTACTGGTCTGCATTTCTAACGATTGGAACATTTGAAGGAACAAATGTCCTAACAGCTTGTTGACTGCTCGGAGGAGGCGGAGCGAAATTTGCCTACAAGAGAAAGAGAAGGGCTCAAATTGGTTCGCCGAGCAACCACATAGCATGATGAGTAACTTAGCATAAAAAATAGTTATGTTTTATTACCTGAGGCATCTGAGGTGCCTGAGACGGAACAAACATTTGAGAAGGTGCAGCAGGCTGGTAAGGACTGCCCTGGGAAGCAGGTTGATATGTTGCAGTTCCATATCCTCTTCCATAAGAAGTCTGCTGGTAATTTTCTCCATATGCGGCAGCAGTAACACCATGCTGCTGCAAGTGTGATGGTGCTGTTTCCTACATAACAAAAAGCATACAATCAGGGTTTGGTAAAGGCTTAATAATGTGTCAAAAGATATTGCACCACAGTACCAAAGGACTGTAAAATCACCGGATAAAAGGAATGAGATGTGTCAGCAGCGCTGAAACTGGGCCGTTCGCTCTGAAATTGTGTGTTCTCATAAGCTGCAGCTGCATGTTCTGCTGCAGTGCGCCAATTAAAAGCTTTGTGTTAGATCAGCTCAGACATCGCTTCCACTGCTAGGCATTGGCAAAACCTAATACTGAAACTAGTGCTTGTTATTGCAAACTACAATGAGGGCAGCTCTAGAGCACCATTTAGGACCTTCCCTCACTTAGAAAAAAGGGACTAGGATAACTAAATGAAAAACTGCAGTGATGCCTAAATGTAGTTAGCGTGAAGAAAGAAAATTAAAGAGATTCAGCTTGGACAAAACAAAAACATGCCAACATGCCATCATATAGTTGAATAAGGTTGAAGATAACTTATTAGCAGAAGAGCCATACCAGGCTCTGTAGAAAGTGAGATACGATCTCTTAAGACAACAAGTTCAGGAGACAAATCATCAGATCCCAGGAGTTTCAGGTATTCCATAGCAGTCGTTAAAAGCCCCTGACTTGCCAAAATCTCGGCATATTTCTCAACAAGCTTGCACAGAGATGCACTAAAGCGCTTTTGTCCACTTGCCAGAGCAAAGACAATAGTCTTCTCCATCAAATCCTAAGAAATTAAAACGATGAATCACAATAAAGAAGTAAAGCCATCAAATACTTTATGTGCCTTCTATTAATTCCAAGAATACCTGTAGCAGGTCAACATAGGTTTTTCCTTCACTGTCACATGACAAATTTCGTGACCATATTTCAACCGTCTTGTCTATGTTCCCCGCACATATATAACATAGAGTCGCAGCCAAAGTATTACCAGCAGACATTAGTTTGGAAGCAAGCACATCACACAGCATACTCCATTCCTCATTTTGGGCAAACTGAAAATAAATAGTGGCAAGCAACATCAGATATGTATGTATGTATGTATGTATGTATGTATGTATTTATGTATCTATCTATCTATCCATGTTTAGAAGTACAGATAAACACATAACTAAGGTGCTACATCAGCGAAGTGCCTGGATTGAAAACTTACTGTGCAAAGAAGGGCAAGTGTTTCTTTCCAATATTTCAGAGGCCTTGTGTTTACTAGGCTCAAGAGATCGTTGTTCACCATTGCTGAAACAATCTGCAAAATGGAATTGGTAAAATATGAAGCAAGGTCCTTCAAGTATTAAATCATGTCACTACAAATTGTATTGGTGAGGGAAGAGCTGTATGCAGACAACGAGCAGCGACTGATATATGGACTACCTTCATGTACGGTGACCGGTTCAGTTTAAGACACTGATCACGTGTTTTCTCCCACAAGGTAGGTCCACCAAGATGTGCAATAAGCAAAGCATCATCCCTCTTATTTGCAGAAATGCACTGTGCAACTGCCCCCTTATAATCTCCCACAACCAAAGAATGCTGAATACAATCATCAAATGATGGGTCAGCATTCTCTTCCAGTCCATCAAGCTCTTGTCTGGTTTCTTCGGCATTGTGAGGAGAAGTGGCCTCCACAGACGATGAAACAGGTGTATCAACTTTTGGGCTTGGAAGATTGTTGAAGAAATCTTCGCCATCATCTCCAGCAAACATGACAGACTCTTTCTCTTTCTCATACCCCACTTTGTCTGTTGCAACATCGGCCAGCTGAAGTGTACTGATCTCCTGGCTAAGATCATCAACTACTGCAGGCTTCTCTTCAACAGGTAAACTAAAACCAAGGTGGTTGAGCATCTTTGACCTTGCAGTCCCATCTTCTTCAAACATAACCTTGAGGAATCCCCAGGTCTGTTGGTCCTCCTCGGATCTGCTAGGACAAATAATGTAACAGGAAAAAATTAATAGGTCAATCTACCTGCACATGAAAAGTTTTAAACACTAAAACAACCTATGTAAAACAAGTAGAGAGGAGAGGAAGGGCTGGCATACTCGGACTCTTTTGATTTTCTTTCACATAATGACTTCACGGACGATTTCTCCCCATTGTTGATTGCAGCTTCAAATTCAGATGACCGACTCACTAAAGATTGTTCCGTCACCAGGTTGTGTAAAAGCACCTGGAACCAAACAGGGCTTAATCAGAACAGGAATTGAGGAAAGTGTCATCACACAGCATTCTCCTAAGTAACCCTCACCTCTGAATCCCCTGAAGTGGACTTGGGATGAAATGACACAAGCTTTCCTCCAAAGCCAAAGGAAACTCCCGCGGGCCGTTTATACCACTTTGGGGCTCTAAGTGGCACTGCTGATAATGGGTTAGAAGATGAATGTGGTTCAATTTTAAAGCAGAAATATAAACTAAAGAACTATGCAAAGAATCCTAAAGACAGCCTATAAGCTGTCATGAGTCCCTACCCTACTTGATCTCATAGCAATTATTTAAACCTACCCAGCCATAGGTTAGCGTACATGTCTAGCATCCCATTCATTAAAGTTAAATATGCCATAGAACCAAAGAAAAACCTTTGTTTTCAACTTCACTCTGATACCACAGAGAAAAGAGAGCATTTAAAAGTTAAACACAGACAGAAAAAGTCTCAAACCATCAGAACTTGAAGCTTCTAATCAAGAATCAAACAGATCTTTCGATACAACCAGCTCAAGCCCAGAACTAAAATATTTAACATTAATCAACTTCAACCATCCATCCCTCACCAGCTACTGAGGGCATGTGATCTGACAGATGGATCTACAGGTAAGATCATTGTGCTGAATTAAGAAAGTTACCTGCTCCAAAATCAGTCTCTTCGATCCCATAATGGCTACATCCCTGTGAATAATACATGACAAATGTTTAGAACGATTCTGGTTGAAAAGGGAAGGATATATGCTGGTTGTGGTGGGATAAATTATTCTCGGTCATCATACTTAACCGTTTCAGAAACCACTAGTATATAAGCATTATAACAACAAACAATGACATCTTTGAATCAAACAAGAATTGTTAATAGCTTAAAGTTTTACAGAGATGTGACCGCAGCAGAAACCAGTAGGAAGAAGACGATAGCCTTGGCAGAAGATGAAAAAAATACTGACCTCAATATTGTAAAGCCCAATCTTTCCGTCAAAAGAAGATGCTGCTATTACTCCTGGGATTTTAGGGTACCAATGGACATCAAAGTTCCAATTGTTCCCTGAGGGCAATTCACAAACAATCTGTTGCAGCAGCAAGCGCAGAGTTTATCAACAGCTCAGTAAACAACGTCAAAATTTGAAAGAACGTACTGACAAGCACCAGCATGAGATTTATTAATCATCCCCCCTTACCTTTCCAGTGACAGTGTTCCAGCAGATAGTTCGATTATCTTTGCCACAAGTAAGCAGATAGGAGCTGTCACTGGGACACCATGCCATAGCAATTACACCTGATGAATATAACATAGCAAAAAGTATGGAACTGGTGATTTAAAAAGGTATATCAATACGACATAATATAAAGGAAGTTCTTTGGTAATAGTAAAAACAGAAAGGCAAGAGAAAGCTAACAAGAGAATAGCAAGAACTCAAACTTAAAGAGGTCGTTGTTCAAAACTACTTGCAGATGCCAGCACCCCATCCAGATACCAAAGGAAGAAAGTTACCCATCAGGCCACAACATAAATGTACTGTTTATGATGGCACACGATATCATTCTCAAGCACCAATTTTTCCACACACTAAGTCACAGCATATGACCCTGACTAAATACCATGACTGAAGCTCAAAACTTCATCCCTCTAGATGTATGTAAACTTCTACAAGCTCATAGATTTTCAAGCAGCAAAGGGAAGAACCGTTACCTTTGGTGTGACCAACCAGCTCGTTGACTGGTTTCAGAGTGTTCCGCATATCCCAAAGCTGTTTAGAAACAGGAACATAATTCAAATAGTTATACAGACACTAATAGTATGAATTATTACCCTTAAAAGCTTCATGCAGAAAAGAGGTAGGTATTAACAGCAATGATTACCCTTAAAGCAGGAGAACTGTCATCATCTGATGCAACAAATAGCTGAGTGGCAACATCAGGGTGCCACTGCAGAACAGAGCATCGTCTACTCGTTGAATCCGAGACACTGTCAAATTGAAGAAAGAGCATCAACTTAGAACATGGTAATAGAAAAGATGTATTTAGTGACTCGGTTTTTCTTGCAATGTGTGACCAAATCCAGCAGAACTTACGATATAACTGGTTTTTGCTTCTTCAAGTCCCAAACAACTACAAAACAAAGACATACTGAGAAATAAATCCAAACCAGGACAATGAAACAAACCACGCGGGTGATCCAAAGTCTCTTCTCACCAGTGTTTCCATTATGTGAAGTAGATGCTAATATATGCTGGACCTTGCTATTCCAAGATACATAAGAGATTTCACCTTGCAAAGAAGAGCCCGAACCCTGCACAACAGGAATGCAGAATAACAATCAGTGGTCGCCACTACAACAACGACACATGGATAATTTGTGTTAAAAACCGCAACAGTACACAGGACAAAACTAATCATCTAGAGCTCCCACAAGCATGCAGACAACTATAATCCAGCTCAGAAGCTGGCTGACCCGTGCATGGGACCTCCGAATAATGTAGCAAATGTAAGCCAAGGACATAGAAGTAAAAACTGCTGGTGACCACACATGAACTTAAAAAGGAAGGCAAAGGACAAAAGAAAACCATATCTATCCACCAGTTTCAATATCACAGAGCATTTCCATGTCAATACTTCCCTTTGGGGATCAGGGAACATAATAATTAGGAAATGATGGGATATAGTTACAGCTGAACAGAAGCTTAAAGCAACCACAACGGTACCTTGAGAGGTGGGAAATGGGAAGGTTCCGCTGGGGAGGCCAAATCCCATATGCAAACCTCACCGTCATCAGCACCCGATGCAAGTAAATTTGGGGTGAAGGAATTAAATTCAAGGCCACGCACCTGAAATGTGACAGAAAATGGTATGCCTGTCATGAAACCATCACATACTCGAGAGAAACACAAGCACAACATAGCATTTCATCTGGCTTGGAACTTACAGGGCCTTTATGATTTGCAAGACTAGCAACAAAAGCTCCTTCATTTGGCTCACCCCTGGCAAAGCCATCAAGCAGAGCAGAGACATGAATCATATGAAAGTACAAAGCATGTATATTTGCAAATAACACTATAAGCGAGATAGCTGAACAGCAAATCAGAAAGGGAAGTATCCCATAGTGAGAATAGATCAGTAGTCATTCCAGTTGAACATATATATTCTTTTAGCATACCAACAAACAAGTTCTATTCGGAAAGAATGTGATAGTAGATAATCCCTCTACTAGCATTCTCAGACTGCCAGAAAGCACAGATAGTCAAATACAATATCAAATTCATGTAAAAGGAAAAGTAACCAAAGGCAGGAGAACTCCTTGGTAGCACAAAGTATAGAGGAAATGGAAGTCAACAAGTCAAAAGTGTATAACACTCCTATACTCCTCCACACATGTATTTAGTACTACTTTTCATGACATGGTCAACCTTACAATGCAACTGCCTCCCTCCACACTGTCCCGCGACTGTTTCTTCTCTACCCATCTCAAGAAATGGACGAACCAAAAAAAAGGGATGAATCTATCATGTATAGATTCGCAAGATTGCTCCGATAGACCATCATGGCTACCTGTAACTATAAAAGATAGCGTCTACACTCCCAGAACTTGGCTAGGATTATGAATTCAAAAACTTACACGAATTAACAAACGTCATTTGTTCCTAGTTCATCCAAAATGAACCAAAACTTTCAATTATGCATCGGCTATTTTATGACGAATCTTATTCCCAACGATCAGAAGCAGTTCACTCCGAACACAGCGGATTAGCAAATTACAAGCTTCATCCCATACATTAAAGAAACCATTAGAAATGTTTTCACCCTGCCAAATATTTTACTAAGTAAATACATCGGCAGATAAGTTAATTCAGCTGAATCAAACAGATTATATCAGCACAAACGGGAGTAAATTATTATGAAGGAACAGATCTCAGCGGAATATGCAAAGTCCCTAGAATCAGTGACAAATCTCAATCCAAGAATCACCAGTTCCGGCTCAATCCAACATGAACACGCAAGATAAAGCCAATTTTACCGGATCAACGCTGAAGGATTCCAGATGCCAATGCTGCCATCCACATGCCCACCAGCAATGAATCCAAGATCATACTGCTCGGAACTGGATCCATTTTTCCCCCAGGCGAGACGGTTAAATCTCTCGGGGCTTTGCGACTCGCCGACCACAGGGAGATCACAATCATCAGATTGAAAATCGAGCTTGAAAATCTCGATGCTGGCGGACGAGCTAAAGGACAGATCCACCGCGCCCGCCATCGTTCCGGCGGCCATATACGGAGCGTCCGGCGCCAGCGCCACCGACGCCGATCTGTTCACCCACTTGATACACGCCATAACGGAATCAAAAGAAAGAACCGTGAGTTACTGAAATCTACGAATTGTCCACAGCTCGGAAACGCCTGGCACCAAACCCAATTTCCCAGACGTTGAAGCGCCTCCGAATCTGCTCTGCTCGTATCCAAGATGGAAAGAATCTCGAAAATGCGCTCAGATTCAAGATGAAATTGGGGAATTAGGGATTAATCTCTCTTTGTCCTATTTCTCTCCCTCTCCCCCTCCGCAATCTTTCCTTCCTCTTCTCCACTTTTTCCTTGTATGCGTTTGCGTCTGTGTGATATGAAAGAAATATTGGTGCGAGTTTGTACGACGGTGAATATAATTTTACTTTTTTTTTAAATATAATTTTACTTCTTTATCCGTTTTTTTATTTTCAGTTTTTTTTTTTAACAAAAACATCACTATGTTGTTACCTGCGGGTAAATTCCCAAAATATTATTTTTTTTAATTTATCACGAATATAGTGGTTTAAAAACTATTTACAAGAATATTGTGTTTTTTTGTATGTTTAAAGCGCTAAAGCCTTAGACTCAGGCGCGGCCGCTAGGTACTGTTTTTTCAAGAAAATCCAGCGGCGGCGCCCGAGACTAGGGCTTTTGGCCTATAAAAATAGTGAAAGCGGGCCCGCCCCGGACTGGGGCTTTGTCGCTTAAAAATAAGTAAAAGCGGCGGCACCCCAAACTGGGGCTTTGTCGCTGCCTTTTTCTTCCACTCCAGCACCACCCATCACCATATATACTGCACCTTTCCTTCGGTTCTTCACCACCAAAAAATTGTAAGAAGTTCCGAAAGAAGCTCTGGTGTTGTTGTCTGGTTGCTGGGAAGATGGCTAATAATAGGTAAGAGACGTATTTATTTTTTTAATGTATTCATCATAATGATTTTGTCCAGTTAGTAATTAGTGAATTTGTTTTTTATGTAGTGGTTTTAGAAGATTTGAACTAGTTGTTCGGTGGAAATCAGAGAAAGTAGAGGACAATTTGGGTGTCCATTTTGTTGGTGGTGTAAGTTTTCAGATGACTATTCCATCCAGGGTGAACTATTAGAAACTTTATGATAATATAATTCAAAGAATACGGCGTAGAGACAAAACAGTACAAGATAGTGTTGTGATTACATGTTTCACTTACTGTCTTCCAGAATGGCAGAATGGTGTTTTATTTCATTATGCAATGCCTATTTTCGATGATGATAGCTTAAATGTGCTTTGGAATTTTATGGCACAAAATCCTTATTGTTTGGGTGCTGAGATACATGCTGAGCTCAGTGAGGATCGGGGTGGAGAGGAAGAAGATGACACATGGAGCATGCCATCCGATCATGACTATGATGACGGTGATGAGGGAGAGGAGGAAGACGATGATAATGATGAGGAGGAGGAGGAGGAGGACGACGACGGGGAGGAAGGAGAACAACCTAATTATCCTCCATATTTTTACTTGCAGGGTAATGAAGAGGACGAGAAATTATCATATGCTTATTCATATGGCATAATTCCAGGGTCTATTGTTGGTGGTTTTGATGGAGAATTCTACATGGGGAAAATATTTCACTCGAAACAAGCTGCACAGGTGGCGATTAAACACTATGCACTAAAGCGCAACTTTCAGTATAACGTGGTGGAGTCGTCACCTTCAATCTGGAAGATCAGATGTTTGATGCACAAGGAGGACCAATGTCCTTGGATGGTGCGGTTTGGATATCGAGATGTGGGAGGCGATTGGAGCGTGAGAAAGGCCGAGTTGGTGCATACTTGTAGCAGTACGACTCAACCGACGGATCATCGCCATCTTGATGTCGACGTTATATCTGAGTCCGTGAAACACTTGGTACGTGCTCAACCAAATTTGAGTGTTCTAATTGTGCAGGCCGAGTTGAAAGATAAGTTTAATATGCAAGTTACTTACAAGAAGGCTTGGTATGGGAAACAAAGAGCATTGGAGAAGTTGCATGGAAATTGGGAAGAATCCTACGATTTTTTGCAAACATTTTTGCGGGTGGTCAAGAGAAAAATGCCAACATCGGTGATTGATTGGGTAAGAGTTCCTTCGACTCAACCAGGTCATTCGATATTTCAGCGAGTATTTTGGGCTTATGGACCTTGTATAGATGGATTCAAGAATTGTCCAGGCGTCATGGTTGTTGATGCAACATTTCTTACTAGGAAGTATAAAGGAGTGCTACTCATGGCGAGCTCATTTGATGGCCAGAAGAAGATTTTTCCAATTGCATTTGCCATAGTGGAGAGTGAGAATACTAATAGTTGGCCATGGTTCATAAGTCACATTCAAGCTTTGACTGATCGAAATGATGTCTGCATCATCTTAGATAGACATGCAGGACTCTATGAAGCCATGAATAACATCGAAAGAGGTTGGGAGTGGAGGTGGTGCATGCGACACTATGCAAGCAATTTGCAAAGGAAGACTAAAAGCAGAATTATGTATAATCAACTATTTCGAGTCAGTAAGCCTTCTTCATTTAATTTTGTTATTTATTTTCATGTAATTTTGTCATGAATTTATCTAACCCGTGTGGTTGTTTATTTTGTTAGCCGGAGAAAAACGCTTGGAGAAGTTCGATCGTCAAGTTAAGCAATTTAAGAAGGTGGCCACTGATAGAAATATTTCATGTGATAACTGGGTCGACCAACATCAAATTCGTTGGATTTTAGTACATGATAACTACAAATGGTGGGTGTCGTTGGTCTATCCTTACATCCAACATGGTAGAAAGCATCAATGGTGTTTTCAAAGGTATTAGTGCACTTCCTATAGCTTCTCTTATGCAACATACCTATTGGCGATTGGTGGAGAAATTCGATAAGATGAGGTTGGAGACGGGAGCAGAAATTAGAAGTGGTGCACAACAGTATTCCACCAAGTGCGAGGAGCTGATGCAGTCGTGGAGACAAAAGGCAGTTGGACATTCCGTGTCAGCGATGGATTGACGTCAAGGCATCTATGTAGTTCAGACTCCTCCCAACAATTTCAACATGACGGGGTCAAACACACTCCCAGTGCACTTTGACGACCCCAACCGGACGGGATTTTGCACTTGTGGGAAATTTCAAGGAAATAAAATTCCTAGCTCTCATGCCATTGCAGCTTGCAACCGAATGGGGGCTAATCCATATAGGTTTGTAAACGACGTCTACAAGCTTCAAACAGTGATGGCTTGTTATGGGACAAGTTTCACTCCTCTTAGTGAACCTAAGGGTTGGAAGAAGCATAATGAGCCTACTCTCCACCCCAATCTGGACATGATTAGAAAGCCGGGGAGGCCAAGATCAACACGAATTCACAGAGATCAAGCCATGCTGGATTCAACTCATTACATCCTTTGTCCAGTTCCATGGCTTGAAGGATGAGGAGGCAAGGGTGCATCTGTCCCATTTCCTGCAGCTGACGAACGGGTTCAAGCTGAACGGTGTCCCTGATGATGCAATCCGCCTTCACCTCTTCCCCCATTCTCTGGCGGGGAATGCTAAGAGGTGGTTGGAGACCCAGCCCCCATTGTCCATCACCTCTTGGGACGATCTGGCTGACAAATTCGTGCACAGGTACTATCCGGCATCGAAGACTACAGAGATCCAGCGGGAGATCACTCACTTCCGCCAAGAGCCAGATGATTCACTTCGTGATGCATGGGAGCGGTACATGGGATTTTTCTGGCAGTGTCCCCATCATGGCTTTAGTGATGCATTCACAGTGGGGAACTTCTACAGTGCTCTCTCTCCGGAAAGCCAGAGGGTGATTGAGTCTCTATGCCCAGGAGGGGACATTCTTACCAAGACTCCACCTGAACTGAACCAGATGATCAGTACATTGGCTGCCAGAGATCATTCCTGGGGGCAGATCAGCAGAGGCAGACATTCCCGGGACCGTGGTGTGCACGCCATGGAGACCAGATCCGGGCTCGAGCAGTAGGGGGTTGAGTTAGTGCAGACATTGAAGCAGCCCAACAGTCTTATTCCGGGCAGAGGTCTGGGCGGACCTCCCGTAGATTAATGTCAGTGGTGTGAGAGCTTGAATCATCTGGTGGAGGACTGTCAAGCTATGCGGGAGTCCTCTACTCCCTAAGAACAGGTGGACTTCATCGCCAATGCTCGGCGCCTTGACCCATAAAGCAATACATACAATGAGGGGTGGCGCCAGCTTCCCAACTTTGCCTGGAATAGCAACGCCACTAAACCACCTGGTTTCCCAGCACCAGCGGGTGGTTTTCAGCAGAGGCAGCCCTTCCAGGCTAGGCAGGGACCCCCACCACAGCAGCAACCCTACCAGCCTAGGCAGGGGCAGCCATTCCAACAGCCCCAGCGTTAGTATGCCGAGCCAGCAGCAACTCCAGCTCCAGATAACCAGATGACGGAGCTGAAAAATATTTTAGCGGCATTCATGACGTTGCTGAGCGAGGAGTGTTCTGCTATCCTGCAGAACAAGCTGCCCGAAAAGCGCAAGGACCCAGAGAGTTTTACTAAACCCTAAACTCTAAACCCTAAGACAAACCCGACCCCCCTCTAAAAATCCCTAACCCCAAAATTCCGCCGCCATTCGATTTCCCCAACCGCCTCTTGTGAAAATCCAGACCCCCAAGCAGTTTCCGCTCGCCATTTATTCCCCCACCGAATGGCCTATCAACAGTAGCGGTTTCCAAAAGAAGTAAGGTAACCAAATTCCCTAGGGCAAAGAAGAGGACCCCGCCGCTGTCCCATTGCCGCTAGTAGCCGCGAGAATTCCCCATCCCGTCGCCGATCAATTCCGATCCCGATCGCGATATCATTCCTCTCGTGTTTCTAGGTAAGGATCAAGAACCCCTTCGCGATTTCTAAACGCGATTTATTGTTAGACTAATTTCGAAGCCCGGTTTTATTAGCGGTGACGATGAGGGTTCGAGCAACAAGGAGATCAACGTCCCAGATCATCTAATCTAGTCCTAAGCGCATTATAGAGGTAAGGGAACTCGATCCCTTTGTGTTAGGTCGATTGATTTGGTGA